AGCTACCACAGGAACACAAGGAAATTAAAAGGTTGTCCGGACTGTAGCCAAAAATACTGTTTGTTGGTTGTGCCTTACATAGTAGATAGAAATGTAGAACATATATATATAGGTGGATACAATACAATGATAAAACAGTTTCTAGAAGCGTGTGCATCAAAGTGGAAGATAAAACAGTTTGTGGATCAGATTGGGTGTGGTGGCTCAAATTGATATGATTGAAGTACCCTCCTCGTGTCTTCTGCAGCATATTTTTCGATGCCGTCTTCAGCAAACACGATGACCTGATAGGTGAGCATTGTTGTTGGCAGGAAGAACAGGAGTTCATTTGGCTCCGCATGAATTTGGTCCAGAAATTGAATCCAATGCTGAGTAACATTAATGTTTGTGTATTGCAGGTAAGCATGTATTTGTTGTCGGTTGACATGAATGAGGAAAGGACGGTTATTTTGCCAATTTGGAGCGATGATATTAAATGGTGGTTTCTGTGAAAATATATTATAAGTTAGGGTGTTTGGGTAATAATTTATCATTGTAATTGTATAAAGATAAAAGGTACCAGGCGAAAAGCGTCATCATCAGTGAGGTGATGGAAAAATGACAGAAAACTTAAATCTTGTGTGAAGTCATCCGATAAGCCTGTGATAACTTGCTGGTAAACAAAGTTAGTTCTATCAAAATGCATTTGCGAGAATGGATCTGGGTGGAGTTTTTGGGTTAATTGTGTTGTCCAAGGAAATATTTATTGCTGGCAGTTTTTTTTAAAGATGGCTACGTTGAACTCCATGTTTGCTAAATATTTAAATAGAATGATGTCACCTGTGGTTAGTTTATGGTCTGCTGCAAATTGATTCCATCCTTCAGCAAATTGAAAGTTTCTCAAGGCAATCAGCCAATGTGCATTTTTTCCTTTGATGGTTAGGAATGGCTGTCTGCAGTGTTGTATCATTGGAATAAGATCATGCGGCAATCGCTGTTCAGTTACGAATATGTTAGGTTATGGTTGTTAGAAATTTGTGGAGGGAAAAAAGAAATTTGTATTATATTATCAGAGAAGTACCAGTGTTTGAGTTTTTGTAAAACGAATTGTGAAACAGCATGGTAGGGGGCCATATATATCAGGTATGAAGTGAGGAAGAGGAGCATCTGGAAAAACAAGAATTGTTTTAGCAAATACTCAGAAATATAGGATTTTTGTAAGATAGCAAGTAAATGATAACAATTTACAATTACCTGGTGGGTGCGGAGAAACAAACATGAGGACGCGTTCCAACCACTTAGCAATGGAAATAGCATATTTAAGCTCAAGAAGGCCAACGTCTTCAACGAGGGCAAAATGTTGTTCAATGAATGCTTCGCTGTATTTGTAGGTATCGTGTTTGGGATCTTTATGCAAAGCTGTAGCAGCAAGTGTTTTATGGCCAGCGGGCGTAACTAAATAGTATTTGTATAATTTCTGTCTTTGGGGTGTAATGTGGACGGTTAGTGTCCAAGAAACAAAGATATCATTGTCCATCTAACTGTAGAGAGTTTATGAAACTGTTGGTTATTAAATTGTATATGGATTCGGTGAATGGAAAACGAAATGTTTAACTAAACGGAATGTAAAATGAAGCAAAATAATCTACCAAACAGTGAATCATATTAGTTATGAGTTAGGTCTGTTTTATGTTTGAAGAATTATAGACGTAAAAACAATGAAAGAATTAAATATGTTGAAAGTAAATTATTCAGTTATCAGCTGCAAAATATAGTGGAAATTGATGGAAGCGTACCTGGTGTGCAAGTGAAGTAGGAAATTTAGCTGTGTTTTAACTGTTGAGGATTTTTTACTGGTGATAGATTTTATAGGAAAATGAGAGTGAATGTTCAGGTGGAAGAAGGCTGTATATGTTTGAAGATGCGGGGGTCGGTGGAGGGCTTTAATGGGTATTTAATTTGAACAGGTAAGAAGAGAAAGTGGGTCGGTTGAGTATTTGGTGGAGTATTAAATGAATTGATTGGTAGTATTTATTTTGAACCGTTTAATGGGAGAATTTAATTTGTTTTAGTAAGGGAAAGGATTCTGTGGTATATTGGGTTGCTATATGTTTGTTTGCGTATGCGTGGCTGTTGAAAAATAAGAAAGAAAATAGTGGAGTGGGTGGAAGAAGAATTGAAAGCGATGGAGGCAGGTAGCAGGAATAAAAGCGATGGGATATTTTCAGTGGATTTGAATTGCACGCAAGTTGATAAAAGCGCAAAGAAAAACAATTTCACATCATTCAAGTTTCAAGAGCACCCAAAAATGGAAACTATGAATGTGGAGCATTAATTAAAACTGCAGTGGATGTGAAATTGAAACTATAAATAAGGAGCGGTAATTTATAAATGGTTAGTGCATATGATAGCATAGAAAGGTGATAAAAAAACATATAGGAATAGTTGAAGAAGAATTAGCCGAAACAAAAAATTTTAGATATATGGTATGAAAAAGTGCAGAAGGATTGGAGAGTGGAAAACAAGAAAGAAGAGGAGAACGACGATTACCTTAGGAACAATGGCAGTGTGGTGGTGGGAAGGAAGTTTGGTTTGGGAAATGATGAGTGTGAAAGCAGGAATTTGTAAATTAGATATTATAGCGATTGATATAGACGGAGAGTGATGTCGGTAATAGCGAAGATATTGTGGGTGGTGTCAGGCTTTATAGTAAGACAGTCATGAATTGGGCAGCGGTAAATGGAGTTTTCTGGGTATTCATTATATATTCATCAGGTATGTTGGGCATTCTATAAATCTAACGGTGAATAGATGATAAAAGTACAAAGTACTACAATGTAATGGTTTTTTTTTTGACAGAAAAGAATCTACTTTTAAAGTTATCAGGCAACGTGGTAATGATATACATTGAGGGACTCTGACATGCCTTGCATTCGACGGTACCTTGCATTTGACCAAAAGTGCTAAACCTTTGCAGCTCACAAAACAGGCTCCAATGAAACAAACAACGGCAGGAAAAAAGAAAGAAGCTAGACTTCAGCTGTGGAGGTGCCACGTGGTGCCAAGGGAAGCTACCACAGGAACTCAAGGAAATTAAAAGGTTGTCCGGACTGTAGCCAAAAATATTGTTTGTTGGTTGTGCCTTACATAGTAGATAGAAATGTAGAACATATATATATAGGTGGAAACAAGACAAAGATAAAACAGTTTCTGGAAGCGTGTGCATCAAAGTGGAAGATAAAACAGTTTGTGGATCGGATTGGGTGTGGTGGCTCAAATTGATATGATTGAAGTACCCTCCTCGTGTCTTCTGCAGCATATTTTTCGATGCCGTCTTCAGCAAACACGATGACCTGATAGGTGAGCATTGTTGTTGGCAGGAAGAACAGGAGTTCATTTGCCTCCGCATGAATTTGGTCCAGAAATTGAATCCAATGCTGAGTAACATTAATGTCTGTGTATTGCAGGTAAGCATGTATTTGTTGTCGGTGGACATGAATGAGGAAAGAACGGTTATTTTGCCAATTTGGAGCGATGATATTAAATGGTGATTTCTGTCAAAATATATTATAAGTTAGGGTGTTTGGGTAATAATTTATCACAGTAATTGTATAAAGATAAAAGGTACCAGGCGAAAAGCGTCATCATCAGTGAGGTGATGAAAAAATACCGGAAAACTTAAATCTTGTGTGAAGTCATCCGATAAGCCTGTGATAACTTGCTGGTAAACACAGTTAGTTCTATCAAAATGCATTTGCGAGAATGGATCTGGGTGGAGTTTTTGGGTTAATTGTGTTGTCCAAGGAAATATTTGTTGCTGGCAGTTTTTTTTAAAGATGGCTACGTTGAACTCCATGTTTGCTAAATATTTAAATAGAATGATGTCACCTGTGGTTAGTTTATGGTCTACTGCAAATTGATTCCAGCTTTCAGCAAATTGAAAGTTTCTCAAGGCAATCAGCCAATGTGCATTTTTTCCTTTGATGGTTAGGAATGGCTGTCTGCAGTGTTGTATCATTGGAATAAGATCATGCGGCAATCGCTGTTCAGTTAAGAATATGTTAGGTTGTGGTTGTTAGAAATTTGTGGAGAGAAAAAAGGAATTTGTATTATATTATCAGAGAAGTACCAGTGTTTGAGTTTTTGTAAAACGAATTGTGAAACAGCATGGTAGGGGGCCATATATATCAGGTATGAAGTGAGGAAGAGGAGCATCTGGAAAAACAAGAATTGTTTTAGCAAATACTCAGAAATATAGGATTTTTGTAAGATAGCAAGTAAATGATAACAATTTACAATTACCTGGTGGGTGCGGAGAAACAAACATGAGGACGCGTTCCAACCACTTAGCAATGGAAATAGCATTTTTAGGCTCAAGAAGGCCAACGTCTTCAACGAGGGCAAAATGTTGTTCAATGAATGCTTCGCTGTATTTGTAGGTATAGTCAGCCACGGATTTAAGGGGGGGCTGGTGGGGGCTTAAGCCCCCCCAAGCCGCCGGAAAACCCCCTATATATAGGGGATTCCGGCGGCCAGCCCAGCCCAGCCCAGCCTTGGTGAGAAACTACGCTGAAGAAGTACGCTGCAATGGGTTTGTGTCCGTTAACTAGTAATACAAGGCTTTAGAAAGGCAGTTTATTGAAATTTGAGTAACATACGACGGCAGAAAACTGAAAATCAATATCATATTTCATGGAAGAAGCCGAACAGGCAAAGAGCTACTCATCAACGGGGCCTAATTTCCCAAGAATGAAACCAGGCGTTTCATCAAGATTCCAGCACTGTGACCACTTGGATTCTGTATATGAAAAGTATGGCCCTCCTTTTCAACATCCACAACCTCCAATTCACCACTCCATCCGCTCATCTTTATCGCCTCACAGTAGCGCAAACTCCTATCTCGCAGAGGATCTGTCTCCGATGTAAACAACAGAATCTTCCCGCACACAAGTCCCGACAGCAGTTCACTACTTGCCATTGGATTAAGCCTTGGATCATCCCACCCTTTGAAATCTGAAGTGATGTACTCCCATAATTCTTCACGCCCTCCTTTACCAAAAAATGGATGCGCTAAAATCAACCCCTCAACTCTTGCTGATTTATATCCCGAAGACTTCTCAAGTAACGATTATTTATATCTTGAGTCTCAACTTCGAAATTATATTTATAATGTGCAACGCGATCCTCAATTTTCAGAAGTTGGAGATTTAGGAAGTCTTGCTCAACAAATGGTTAAAACTGGTAAAAATACAGTTTTTCCATTGGTTTATCGTCTAATCCAATTGGCATTAGTTCTACTAGTTGCGACTGCTTCTGTTGAAAGAGTATTTTCTGCAATGAATATTGTCAAGACTGATTTGCGCAACAAAATGGGAGACGAGTGGATGAATGACTGTCTGGTTGTATACATCGAGAAGGATATTTTTGCAACAATTGAAAATGAGCAAATATTGCAGCGTTTTCAACGGATGAAGACTCGCAGAATGCAATTGCCTCCTCTTCGTTATTCGAGTGCAACAACTACCAATACTTCAAGTGTTAATCAATAACAAATTTTTGGGTATGTACAATTATATGTTTTTATTATTTTTATAATTATTGATTCTAAATTTTACTTATTAAATATATTTATTTCGTCACAAAAAAAAATTTTAATACACTTCAGCCCCCCAAAAAATAAATTTCTGGCTCCGTCCCTGGGTATAGTGTTTGGGATCTTTATGCAAAGCTGTAGCAGCATGTGTTTTATGGCCAGTGGGCGTAACTAAATAGTATGTGTATAATTTCTGTCTTTGGGGTGTAATGTGGACGGTTAGTGTCCAAGAAACAAAGATATCATTGTCCATCTAACTGTAGAGAGTTTATGAAACTGTTGGTTATTAAATTGTATATGGATTCGGTGAATGGAAAACGAAATGTTTAACTAAACGGAATGTAAAATGAAGCAAAATAATCTACCAAACAGTGAATCATATTAGTTATGAGTTAGGTCTGTTTTATGTTTGAAAAATTATAGACGTAAAAACAATGAAAGGATTAAATATGTTGAAAGTAAATTATTCAGTTATCAGCTGCAAAATATAGTGGAAATTGATGGAAGCGTACCTGGTGTGCAAGTGAAGTAGGAAATTTAGCTGTGTTTTAACTGTTGAGGATTTTTTACTGGTGATAGATTTTATAGGAAAATGAGAGTGAATGTTCAGGTGGAAGAAGGCTGTATATGTTTGAAGATGCGGGGGTCGGTGGAGGGCTTTAATGGGTATTTAATTTGAACAGGTAAGAAGAGAAAGTGGGTCGGTTGAGTATTTGGTGGAGTATTAAATAAATTGATTGGTAGTATTTATTTTGAACCGTTTAATGGGAGAATTTAATTTGTTTTAGTAAGGGAAAGGATTCTGTGGTATATTGGGTTGCTATATGTTTGTTTGCGTATGCGTGGCTGTTGAAAAATAAGAAAGAAAATAGTGGAGTGGGTGGAAGAAGAATTGAAAGCGATGGAGGCAGGTAGCAGGAATAAAAGCGATGGGATATTTTCAGTGGATTTGAATTGCACGCAAGTTGATAAAAGCGCAAAGAAAAACAATTTCACATCATTCAAGTTTCAAGAGCACCCAAAAATGGAAATTATGAATGTGGAGCATTAATTAAAACTGCAGTGGATGTGAAATTAAAACTATAAATAAGAAGCGGTAATTTATAAATTGTTAGTGCATATGATAGCATAGAATGGTGATAAAAAAACATATAGGAATAGTTGAAGAAGAATTAGCCGAAACAAAAAATTTTAGATATATGGTATGAAAAAGTGCAGAAGGATTGGAGAGTGGAAAACAAGAAAGAAGAGGAGAACGACGATTACCTTAGGAACAATGGCAGTGTGGTGGTGGGAAGGAAGTTTGGTTTGGGAAATGATGAGTGTGAAAGCAGGAATTTGTAAATTAGATATTATAGCGATTGATATAGACGGAGAGTGATGTCGGTAATAGCGAAGATATTGTGGGTGGTGTCAGGCTTGATAGTAAGACAGTCATGAATTGGGCAGGGATAAATAGTAGAGCGGTAAATGGAGTTTTCTGGGTATTCATTATATATTCATCAGGTATGTTGGGCATTCTATAAATCTAACGGTGAATAGATGATAAAAGTACAAAGTACTACAATGTAATGGTTTTTTTTTTTTGACAGAAAAGAATCTACTTTTAAAGTTATCAGGCAACGTGGTAATGATATACATTGAGGGACTCTGACATGCCTTGCATTCGACGGTACCTTGCATTTGACCAAAAGTGCTAAACCTTTGCAGCTCACAAAACAGGCTCCAATGAAACAAACAACGGCAGGAAAAAGAAAGAAGCTAGACTTCAGCTGTGGAGGTGCCACGTGGTGCCAAGGGAAGCTACCACAAGAACTCAAGGAAATTAAAAGGTTGTCCGGACTGTAGCCAAAAATATTGTTTGTTGGTTGTGCCTTACATAGTAGATAGAAATGTAGAACATATATATATTGGTGGATACAATACAAAGATAAAACAGTTTCTGGAAGCGTGTGCATCAAAGTGGAAGATAAAACAGTTTGTGGATCAGATTGGGTGTGGTGGCTCAAATTGATATGATTGAAGTACCCTCCTCGTGTCTTCTGCAGCATATTTTTCGATGCCGTCTTCAGCAAACACGATGACCTGATAGGTGAGCATTGTTGTTGGCAGGAAGAACAGGAGTTCATTTGGCTCCGCATGAATTTGGTCCAGAAATTGAATCCAATGCTGAGTAACATTAATGTCTGTGTATTGCAGGTAAGCATGTATTTGTTGTCGGTGGACATGAATGAGGAAAGGACGGTTATTTTGCCAATTTGGAGCGATGATATTAAATGGTGGTTTCTGTGAAAATATATTATAAGTTAGGGTGTTTGGGTAATAATTTATCATAGTAATTGTATAAAGATAAAAGGTACCAGGCGAAAAGCGTCATCATCAGTGAGGTGATGGAAAAATGCCGGAAAACTTAAATCTTGTGTGAAGTCATCCGATAAGCCTGTGATAACTTGCTGGTAAACACAGTTAGTTCTATCAAAATGCATTTGCGAGAATGGATCTGGGTGGAGTTTTTGGGTTAATTGTGTTGTCCAAGGAAATATTTGTTGCTGGCAATTTTTTTTTAAAGATGGCTACGTTGAACTCCATGTTTGCTAAATATTTAAATAGAATGATGTCACCTGTGGTTAGTTTATGGTCTGCTGCAAATTGATTCCAGCCTTCAGCAAATTGAAAGTTTCTCAAGGCAATCAGCCAATGTGCATTTTTTCCTTTGATGGTTAGGAATGGTTGTCTGCAGTGTTGTATCATTGGAATAAGATCATGCGGCAATCGCTGTTCAGTTAAGAATATGTTAGGTTGTGGTTGTTAGAAATTTGTGGAGGGAAAAAAGGAATTTGTATTATATTATCAGAGAAGTACCAGTGTTTGAGTTTTTGTAAAACGAATTGTGAAACAGCATGGTAGGGGGCCATATATATCAGGTATGAAGTGAGGAAGAGGAGCATCTGGAAAAACAAGAATTGTTTTAGCAAATACTCAGAAATATAGGATTTTTGTAAGATAGTAAGTAAATGATAACAATTTACAATTACCTGGTGGGTGCGGAGAAACAAACATAAGGACGCGTTCCAACCACTTAGCAATGGAAATAGCATTTTTAAGCTCAAAAAGGCCAACGTCTTCAACGAGGGCAAAATGTTGTTCAATGAATGTTTCGCTGTATTTGTAGGTATAGTGTTTGGGATCTTTATGCAAAGCTGTAGCAGCAAGTGTTTTATGGCCAGTGGGCGTAACTAAATAGTATTTGTATAATTTCTGTCTTTGGGGTGTAATGTGGACGGTTAGTGTCCAAGAAACAAAGATATCATTGTCCATCTAACTGTAGAGAGTTTATGAAACTGTTGGTTATTAAATTGTATATGGATTCGGTGAATGGAAAACGAAATGTTTAACGAAACGGAATGTAAAATGAAGCAAAATAATCTACCAAACAGTGAATCATATTAGTTATGAGTTAGGTCTGTTTTATGTTTGAAGAATTATAGACGTAAAAACAATGAAAGGATTAAATATGTTGAAAGTAAATTATTCAGTTATCAGCTGCAAAATATAGTGGAAATTGATGGAAGCGTACCTGTTGTGCAAGTGAAGTAGGAAATTTAGCTGTGTTTTAACTGTTGAGAATTTTTTACTGGTGATAGATTTTAGAGAAAAATGAGAGTGAATGTTCAGGTGGAAGAAGGCTGTATATGTTTGAAGAAGCGGGGGTCGGTGGAGGGCTTTAATGGGTATTTAATTTGAACAGGTAAGAAGAGAAAGTGGGTCGGTTGAGTATTTGGTGGAGTATTAAATGAATTGATTGGTAGTATTTATTTTGAATCATTAAATGGGAGAATTTAATTTGTTGGTTGCCTGTTGCAATACCGAATAGTTAACAAAAGCATAACGAGCATCCTATTAAACAACGAAGTATAGGGTATTTTTTATCAGAATTTGTCAGTACACATAATTATAAAAAACATATAGTGTGAATGCATATGCTAATAATTATTGCCTACTCTTTAATTTAACTTCATTTTCTTAAAAAATGTAATTATGTATTAACGTGCACTCACTGAGCACTCATTAGACAAATCCATTAAATATTATCTAGTTATTTTGAATAAATAAATATTACTTAGTTACCGTTTGGCAAGTGAGTTTTTTTGGTGTTTGTCTAAAATTTTACTGCAATTTACTGTAGATATTTTTAAAAAAAATTTTCAAGTATGTAAATTTTTGAATATTTTGAAATGTATAGTTTAAAACTTTTGAAAAATTTTTTAAAGTTACTGTAATTAAAGTTTTTAAAAAACTTATAGCAGACAAACTTAGTAAAAAACTTGCCTGCCAAACAACGCCGATAATTACACCTTTGATGTTTTTTGACCAAAAAATAAATAAAATAAAAAGTGCCCGCCTTGTTTTCAGTCCAAACACATTTTTGAACGATGAACCGACATTAATGAGCCCATTCCAGCAGAGAAATCCACTGTCCATAGCACCACCTGGACCTCAAGCTTAAACGATACGTGGCTCGTAGTGAATTACAAAAGACAGAATAAAATATATGGCAAACTCCTGCACAAGATGATCAATGAAATTATTATAGCAAGACCTTGCACCTCAGTGGATTGACATTTAATAATTCAACGCTCCATTTCAAGTGGACACTCGTTAATATATATTTTAGGTGTTAAATTTTTAAAAATATAAAATTAATTAGAAAAAATATATAAATGCAAGGAGATAAATTAGGAAAAGTGTATAAATGTAAGAGAAAGTAGTAATTATTAGTGTATATGTATATATATATATATATATATATATATATGATAGGTTGGGTAGAATGTAGGTGTGTTAGACACCCGTTAGAAAAATCGATCGTTCAAACTCAGTGCTTTGTGTAGTAAGTTTAATCTTGAGAAGGTGCTAATAAATGAAGTTTGTTAAGCTCCATAATCTAATGGGATT